AATTAATAAATTTACATGAACAATTTTCTTGCAATTTTGACTGATTCTAAATTTATTTCCAATGATTTTATTTAAACAATTAAATTTTTATTATAAATTATTTTTCCGAATTTAATAAATTTTACTTCAAATGATTTTACTAAGACTCCTCTAAAATATTTTAATGAATTTACTTTATGCAATTAATTAAATAAATCCGACCGAACTCGATTATCAACGACAATTTGTTTTACATGGCACCAAAGTCATAAATTGACCAACCGAAATTATTCCTGGCAAAGTCAATCCAAACTCTGCCTACGTTGTTAATTAACAATCCGATATAATTCCTGGTTTTGTTAATTAATTATTTAGTAATTATTCCTGACTTGCTTTTAACTTTATTCTAAATTTTATTCTGGACTTTTCTCTTAATTAAATTCTTAAATAAACTCTGCATCTTATTTTCAATAAATTCTCAACATTTTCTAAATTATATTTTAAATAATATTTTAAATAATATCCCAAATAATATTCCGAGTAAATTCTAATAAATGAACCTCCATATAATAATTAAGTAAATTCTACGACGCAATACTTAATCTAAAGATTGTGACCGAACGCGAAATGGCGGTGACCTTCAGCCGACTTCAATGCCTGGCTGATGCCGCACCACCGAGAGATTATTGAGACATTTTATTTGTACCTGGAGTTTTTCTCTTTAGGACGCTAGTGAACTCCCTCGAAGAGCAGCAACTCCTTCACGTCTGTACTGGTACAAATTCCTCCTCGGTGGAAAACTCGGCTTGGCAGCGAGACCTCGGTCACCGTCACTCGTTTCTCCGAATACTTTATGAATCTGCTTGATGATGTTCTTACTAAATTTGCGTGTCCGTACGGTTTGGCGACTCGGTCACAATGACTCTTCTCAGCTTTGTCGGTGCCAGTGCTGCCAGAGCTCAACTATCTCATTACCCGCGTGACTAGTCTCGATTACCCGTTTTTACCCGACAGAGGGCTAGGCTTTACCCGAATTTTACCTAACTTCAGATAACTCAAGTGCCATCTAATAAAATATTTTTTTTTCGCGCTGAATTACAAAAAACATCTACATTTTGACAATTAAACTTTAAACAATTAAATTTCAATTTGATGTTCTCAAATAATTATGAGGGTATATAAATAATTGAAATCAATAAATTATGTAGTTGAATTTATTATAATTAATATTTAAAAAATTAATAACATTTAAAAAATATTGTATTCTAATATACATTTGGTAGTTATTAAATATTTTAAATTAAGAATGAAATATTAAGCACTTACAATAGCTTTGAGCAACTAAAAAATAATTATAAGCTATAATAATTATTTATTGATCATTATTCCAAATATTTGCATTTATCATTTTTTCCGATGGTTCAAAGTCGAGAATACTGTCATTTTTTGACAGTAAATTTTTAGTTGCTACCACAGATTTGAGTGTTTTAGAACTCAAACAATTGCGATGGTCAGTTTTGATGATTTTTAAATCACTAAAAATTCTTTCCACTGAAACATTTGAAAAAGGTAAGACGAGTAAGAAATTAATAACAATTTTTAAATTTTTAAACTTTATTCCACCAACTGGGTTGTGAGTTTAAAAATTTGTTGCCAATAAATCTCAGCCGTAGAATTAATATCAATATTATTGTCTTCTAAGTTTAATAGAGCATGCTCTGTCCACTCATTATCAAGTTGTTGCAAAGTCACATATTCATTTAGTACTGGAAATCTTTTTAATACGAGGTCGAAACTTTTTATGTTGAAAGTTCTAGCTACTTTTGGATCAAGTAAGTCTAAGAACTCATAAATTTTATCCTTAAAATCAAATTTTTGTTTAAGAACCGTCACAGCTTCAATATAGAAACTTAAAACTTTTTTTCTAAACTCGTCCACTTCCAATTCCAAAGATGGTTTTTCAGTTAATAATTGTTCTAAGCTTTTATTTGCTTTTGTTCCAACATAAACTTCATTAAGAGGAACATATTTGTGAGGATCTTGATGATTTAACTTCATGATATCATTTCGTCGAATATGAGTTATATCGATATAATTACTACAAATATTTTTCATTAATTTTTCGACTTCTGGTTTGACTTTATGAAGTAAAGGCTTCTCAGATTGAAAAAGACGGTTAAAATCAGTGAATAGTTCTAACGCATAGCTCAAAAATTGTAAAGTTACATAGGTGAAGCGATTATCCATTGTCTTTACCATGCTTAATAACATTGGAGGAGATTTATCGGTCAATTCACCTTGAAGATAAACGTGGACAGGAGTATATTGTTCCAGCACACGATCTACGCAACATTTCAACGATAACCATCTTGTTGTACTTGGTGACAAAATCTTGTGTATTTTAACTCCGAAGTACTCTTGAAATTCTTCTAATCCTTTAATACGTTTATAACTACGGTGAAAATAAGCTGCTAAATTTCGCAATAATTCTTCTGCAGAATTGGATAACTTTAAACAAGCTTTTGATGCAATAAGATGAATCATATGGCAAGAACATTTTGTAGTCACGATGTCCGGTAGTTCTTTTTTTAGTAAAGCAAATACGGATAAATTATCTCCAGCCATTTTATTAGCAGTATCTGATGCAAACCCAACAAAATTTTTGAGAGGGATATTTTTATCAGTTATTACTTTAATGAGTAAAGAATATAAATCTTCAGCTGTCGCAGAATCAGTCTCAACCATATCAAAAAAATTTGTTTGTATTTTTGCTGTCTTATCATCATAATAAATTACTGAAAAAGCACATTGCTTAATATTATTAACATCAGTTGATTCGTCCATAATAATAGAAAAAAAAGATCCAGGCTTCATCAACTTTTCATTCAATTCTTCTAACAAAACAGTGCTCAAACTATGAATAACAGCTGTAGTTTTCGTTCTTTTTAAAGACAGTTGCTTCGCAATTTTAGAATCGGGGGAAATTTTTGAAATTATTGGTGTAAGTGTATCCATCAATGAAAATGATAAGCATTTCACAGCTACCGTTGCTGCCAAAATGAATTCAGCTCGTTTTATTTGTTTATTTAATGGCAAATCTTGGATGAGATTTTCAATTTTTTGCTGACTTGCTTTATTCTCTATAGTTTCCATGTTTGAAATATGTTTCGATGATTTATAATGACGAGATAAACAATTTTTGTTATAACAAATAATATCAGTTAGACAAATTTTACAGTACGCAGCATTTGGTTTAGTAGATGACTTTCTTATCCAGTCTTTAAATTCTGGAGTATTGAGCCAAATTTCGCAAAATTTTGGAGTATTTGTTTTTGATTTAGTAGTAAGTCTTTTTTTTTTTACTATTTTTGTTCGTTGCTTACTTAAATTAACCTCTGAGTCTGATTCAGAGCATGAGAGGTCAGTCTGAAAACAAACATGATAGCAATGAGTAATTTAAAGAAATAATAAATAATGCAATGAAATCTAATCTCATTATTATTTTTATCTTCATTTTCTCGGTCTTTATCATCTATTGCGCTGCCATCAAATTGATGTTGTTTCTAAAAAAATTGATTATTAGTTTATTGTTAATGATAAATAAATTAATATATATGCACTTAATATTTACCTTCTGTAGCCACTTTTCCATATTTATTTATAAATTTTTTTATAAAATTACTCACAATGACCACTGAGTCACAATAATATAATTGTCATATGTCACAATAAATATGATGAACGATAAATCATAAAATATAATAGAATTTGTCAGTAGTGCCACCTCTGAAATTTATAGATATCAATTGAGTGGAACTATGGAAAAATTGGAAGATACTTTCAGAGCCACTGTTGATGTGGGAATCCCTAACTCAACATGGGTTTGTATTGAGTAGTAATTGTATATTCAACTTCAACAATCGATTTATTGTTAATTGATTTTGTGAATTTTCTATTTAATAAATTAAAAATTAGAATAATGCCTTTACACTTAGAGCGATATAAGCCGCTACTAACAAAAGACAAATATATAAGGACCACGAACGACGGAAAATGTATATTTGTTGATACTAAAAGTAAGTAAAAGCATTGTTTACTATAACCTACATGAATTTCGAATATGGTAAAAATAAAAAAATTAAAAACTTATATTAATAAATTTTATGTCATTAAATTTATGTCATTAGCAATCACTTAATTATTTTTTTATTTTATTTATCAAAAAAATTTCTAGAAAAAATTATTTTTGAAAAATTCCATTTTTAATTCATTAAAATTTCTACATTTCAATTTTTTGTTATAATTTATTTCTATAAAAAATTCTAAAAATTAGCAAATATCTGCTACATTAATTTTTATAGCAATTTTATTTTATAAATTCATTGTAATTGAAATAATAAAATAATGGTCAAAAATGTAAATCCTGGTTTTTGTAAATTGTTGAAAATTTTCTAATTTTTATTTTTCTTTTTTAGCCAATTCTGTGGTATTTGTAGGGATAAAGGTTTATAAATCTAACCCTAACGGACCAGGATCTAACCCTGATAGTTTGGGAAATGACGATGAAGCTTTCATGGACACATCAATTGGTATTTTTAATTTTTATAAATTTATAATAAATAAAATAAAAATATAGAAAACTAATGATTAAAACTATTAAATTTTTTCAGTCTCAGAAGATGATGCCCTTGAGACTTCTAAATAAAACTATATGAAAATTAATATAGCTGATATTTAATAATTTTTTATAAAAATAAATTATTGGAAAAAAATTGATATGTACAAATTTTAATAAATTAAAAATCTAATTTTTTCTAAAAATTTTTTTGTTAAATAAAATTAAAAAATTGTCAAGAGACGGCTAACTTTAATATCATATAAACTACGTAATAATAAATAATGTGATGATAAATTATACCACCACAATAAGATTATAATTAAAAAAAAAAATCCCATTTTCTTTTTAATTTTGTATTACCCGGTTTTACCCGTTTTTTTAGATTACCCGAGGAATTACCCGCAAAGAGTAAATTTACCCGAAAAACGGGTAATTACCCGCACATTGGCAGCACTGAACTCCGGGCCCCGGTTTTATAGGCATTTCTTCCCGCGCTTCCGCGCCACTAGCGCTTCCTGTCCTGTCTTCAGTGCGCACGCCTTCTATGATGCGCGCGCCCTTCATTATGGTGCGCGCGCAGCGCAGCAGCTATCCCTACTTTTACAGATGTACACTTGTATATTTTTTTGACTGTTCCTCGAAATTTATTTTTAATATATTTTATTGGTAATAATTATTATTATTTATAATAATTATTAAAATATTTTTTTCTTTATTTCGATAATAATAATAATTATTATTATTATTATTATTATTATTTATAATTTAAACGAATGGTTACATAATATGAATTTCCGACTAATTTTTATGTGATAGTTTTTGATCGTTTAAAATTAATTATCAAGCATAAATTTTTTGGACATGGATCAAAATTCATGAGCTTTATTCTTACAGATACACTTTAAGATTTTTTAAAAGTAATTTTCTGTTAAAATTGATCGCAATTAATCCATCGAATAAAAGCATATTTTTAATGAATTTAAATATATATAATATAAGTAACTTAGAAAAATTAAATTAGGTCTGCAATAATTGTTGCTAATCGATTAATTTTTCAGCCAGGATTTATTTATAAGAATTAATTATTTCCCAACTGAAAAAAATTTTTTGAATATTTACGGTAGAACTAGCTTATTTTTGACGTTATTTATTTCGGATACAAAATACAGTTAAAAGTATTTTTTAAGATTAAAAAATAAAAATTTTGACTTAAATTAAAATTATTCAAATAATTTAATTAGAAATAAAAAATACTTATTTTCTTCCGTGATAGTAAAAGTGCAAGCAAAAATTAAATTTAAAAAATTTAGTACCAAAAATATCCGATAGGTGGCGCATTGTAGCAAAAAATTCTCGCTGGAAGAGAATTGACTCATATTTTATAAGTTCTATTCAGGAAAAAATTTCTGTGTCTTACAAAATTTGTTACTTTTAATATAATTTTTATAATTATTTATCTTTTATTAATTTTTTCGTAGAACTTCAAGACAATTTCGATAATTAATTTTAATTTGTTTAGTGATCCCGATAAATTGCTGTAATGATAGTCAACTGAAGTTAAGCCAGAGGTATTATTTTCTTTTAATTTTAAATATCTTATAACTGCTCCAAAATAAATCATACACAAAAAAAAATATTTTTTCTGATGAAAAGAGTAATTTTTGTGACAAAAAATTACGTAATGTTCAAAAATATGTTTGAATAACTTTATTAATTTTAAAATATTAAAATCTTGTAAGAAACAATTTGAAGTATGTATATTTTGAATGTTTCTGTATTATCTTTTCTATTTTAATTTGCAGAAGAAGGTAATGTGATGAATATTCAATATTAAAAAATTAGATTTTCTGAATGAAGCATCAATTTTGGTCAACTAAATCTTATTGTTATTTAACTTAGTTTTTATCAAAAATTTGAACCGTTTCTCTCTCGGAAATAATTTATAATTTATGTGGATCATTGTTTATGATTATGATTATTTCATTTTATTATTAATAAAGTTGATTGCAAATGATCCATCAAATAGAAGCATTTTCAATAAATTAAATAGATAATTTGTAAATAAAAAATTATTTATCTATTTTATTCATTGGTTTCACTAATCGCCTTCTCTATTTCTGTCATGACCATTTTAAACTTGTGAACATTCAATAAAGGACTCTAGATCTTTTTGGTAGCAATTATTTATTCTACTTCTGCAAGCTCTTTCAACATTTTTACTACATATTCATGGTAGAACTATCTAATTATAGTCTATCGATTGTTTGATCGATAAAAATGGTTTGTCTTTGGCGTGCATTATATTTGTTACTGAACAAAGTTCAACTTCTTTAAATAGACAAAAAAATTTTCACTTTTTTTACATCAATAAGTAATTCTTAATTAACAATTTCCTGATTCTTTTATTGAATTAAATTTTTCTAGTTGAACAAATGATCATCGTTAGAATTTTCTTTTATTTAACTCAAATTATTTTATTTAAAATGTCAGAAGGCGACTTCGAACGACTAATAATTTTTGTTTGAACGATTCGTCTTAGATCAAAGCGAGTCATTCTCAGAAAATAGTCGTGTGATGAAAATAGATTAATGACCTCGTAAATCATCGTTTGCTTTGGTTGATTATCGAGCAGTTTGAATTCGTAATAAAGTGCACTAAGGGAAATACGCTTATTTTTACAGTTAACTCTATAGTTGATATTGAAATATATAATTGTCTAATTATTTTCAAGTTTCATTTTAAATTATCGAAATACCCTGGCGGATCTGAAATACCGTAAAATTACGGTATTATACGGTAAAAATACGGTCGATATACCGTATGGTCACCGTAGATTACACAGTAGCATTCTACTTGCACGGTAGAAACCGTAAAACACCGTAACGTACGGTAAAGAACGGTGAAAATACGGTATAGAACGGTAAAATTACGGTACAACTACGGTAGTGTACGGTGAAAATACGGTAGAATATATACTTCTGAACTTTCCGCACTACCGTATTCCAATGGTAACCTACCGTCAAATATACCTTATTTTAGCGATAAGTTACCGTACAATTACGGTAAATTACCGTACAATTATGGTACCTTAGCGTACAAAAACAGTACTTTATTTACCGGATAATTAGAGTATTTTACTAACAATTACGGTATTTTACCGTACAATCACGGTATCTTACCGTACAATAACGGTAAATTACTGTACAATCACGGTACTTTACCGTACAATCTCCGTAATTTACGGTGTCATACTGTATTACGGTAAATCACTGTACGTACCGTACTCTACCGTACCCTACCGTAAATTTGCCGTACATTACCGTACTCTACCGTACTTTGGATCCGTCAGGGTATTTATTTAAAATGCTTCAAAGTTTTAAAATTCAATCGTTTTTTTTAAATTAAATTATTTTTTTTTAGTTCTAAAAAATTCCGACAGGTGGCGAATTGTCGTCTTAAATTTCCACTGCAAGAAACTTAACTCAGATATTATAAGTTCTAATCAAAAAAAAATTTATTGAATTTATGTCATTATATTTTTGCCTGATCTGCAAGAGAATTATATTAATTTTCATTAAAAATAATCTAAATAATTATTTTATAAATTTCAATATCTTAAAATTCAATTTTCGGATAATTTAATCAAGTTTTTATCTAATTGTAATTATTTTTTATTTTTAGTTCTGAAAAATTCCGATAGGTGGCGAATTGTCGTCTCAAGTTTCCACTGCAAGAAACTTAACTCAGATATGATAAGTTCCAACCAAAAAATAATTTATGTGTCTAATAAAGTTTGTTTTTTTTTGTCAAAATTATAATACTGTATTTTTACCTGATCTGAGATAATTATATTAATTTTATAAATAAATTCTAAAAAGTATTTAGTGTAGTTTGAGCACAATTTTTTTTTCACAAAAATTAAATTTGAATACAGTTATCTTCAATATAATTTGTTAAATAAATTATGTAATTTAATAAGTCAATTAAATAATTTAATAAATTAATTTATCATATCGGTTTTGGTGATCATAAGT